TTGACCAATTCGAGACTCCTCGTCATGTCCGTAGTCATATCCGGGACTCCGAACTAACTTCGATACATCAAAACTCATAAACTCATAATATAACTGTAATCGAAACCTTAAGCGTGCGGACCCTACGGGTTCGAGAACAATGTAGACATGACCGAGACATGTCTCCGGTCAATAACCAATAGCGGAACCTGGATGCTCATATTGGCTCCCACATATTCTACGAAGATCTTTATCGGTCAAACTGCATAACAACATACGTTTGTTCCCTTTGTCATCGGTATGTTACTTGCCCGAGATTCGATCGTCGGTATCTCAATACCTAGTTCAATCTCGTTACCGGCAAGTCTCTTTACTCATTTCGTAATACATCATCTCGCAACTAACTCATTAGTTGCAATGCTTGCAAGGCTTTATGTGATGTGCATTACCGAGAGGGCCCAGAGATACCTCTCCGACAATCAGAGTGACAAATCCTAATCTCAAAATACGCCAACCCAACATTTACCTTTGGAGACACCTGTAGAGCTCCTTTATAATCACCCAGTTATGTTGTGACGTTTGGTAGCACACAAAGTGTTCCTCCAGCAAACGGGAGTTGCATAATCTCATAGTCATAGGAACATGTATAAGTCATGAAGAAAGCAATAGCAACATACTAAACGATCTGGTGCTAAGCTAATGGAATGGGTCATGTCAATCACATCATTCTCCTAATAATGTGATCCCGTTAATCAAATGACAACACATGTCTATGGTTAGGAAACATAACCATCTTTGATTAACGAGCTAGTCAAGTAGAGGCATACTAGTGACGTTTAGTTTGGCTATGTATTCACAAAAGTATTATGTTTCCGGATAATACAATTCTAGCATGAATAATAAACATTTATCATGATATAAGGAAATAAAATAATAACATTATTATTGCCTCTAGGGCATATTTCCTTCAAGTGGATCACTGGACATCGGTCAAAATTATCCTTAGAAGACTAAGGAGATATTTCTCGGTTATGGAGGTGATAAAGAGTTTGTCGTAAAGAGTTGCGTCGATCCAATCTTTTACACCGGTCCAGATGACTCCGAGTCTCAATCTAGATACATATTGAAAGTGGGAGCAATTAGCTAGAGTAGCTCCATACAGAGCATTGTAGACATAGAAAATTTGCAAAATACATAAGGCTCTGAATGTGACAGACCCATTGACTAAAGTTTCTCTCATAGGCAAAACATGATCACACCTTAGTACTCTTCGGGTGTTAATCACATAGCGATCTGAACTAGATTATTGACTCTAGTAAAACCCTTTTGGTATTAGTCACATGGCAATGTGAACTAATCACATAAAGATGTGAACTATTGGTGTTAAATCACATGACGATGTGAACTAGATTATTGACTCTAGTGCAAGTGGGAGACTGAACGAAATATGCCCTAGAGGCAATAATAAAGTTGTTATTTATATTTCCTTATATCATGATAAATGTTTATTATTCATGCTAGAATTGTATTAACCGGAAACTTGATACATGTGTGGATACATAGGCAAAACAAAGTGTCCCTAGTATGCCTCTACTTGACTAGCTCGTTAATCAAAGATGGTTAAGTTTCCTAACCATATACATGTGTTTTTATTTGAGGAACGGGGTCACATCATTAGAGAATTATGTGATGGACAAGACCCATCCGTTAGCTTAGCATAATGATCGTTTAGTTTTTCTGCTATTGCTTTCTTCATGACTTATACATGTTCCTCAGACTATGAGATTATGCAACTCCCGAATACCGGAGGAACACCTTGTGTGCTATCAAACGTCACAACGTAATTGGGTGATTATAAAGATGCTCTACAGGTGTCTTCGATGGTGTTTGTTGAGTTGGCATAGATCGAGATTAGGATTTGTCACTCCGTGTATCGGAGAGGTATCTTTGGGCCCTCTCGGTAATGCACATCACTATGAGCCTTGCAAGCAATGTGACTAATGAGTTGGTTACGGTATGATGCATTACGGAACGAGTAAAGAGACTTGCCAATAACGAGATTGAACTAGGTATGATGATACCGATGATCGAATCTCGGGCAAGTAACATACCGATGACAAAGGGAATAACGTATATTGTTATGCGGTTTGACCGATAAAGATCTTCGTAGAATATGTAGGAGCCAATATGAGCATCCATGTTCCGCTATTGGTTATTGAATGGAGATGTGTCTCGGTCATGTCTACATAGTTCTCGAACCCATAGGGTCCGGACACTTAATGTTCGATGACGATTTATATTATGAGTTATGTGATTTGAGGACCGAAGTTTGTTCAGAGTGCCAGATGAGATCACGAACATGACGAGGAGTCTCAAAATGGTCGAGAGGTAAAGATCGATATATTGGAAGGCTGTATTCGGACATTGGAAAGGTTCCGAGTGATTCAGGTAATTTTCGGAGTACCGGAGAGTTACGGGAATTCGCTGGGGGAAGTTAATGGGCCTTATTGGGCTTTAGTGGAGATAGGGAAGAAGGGCCATGAGGTGGCGCGCACCTCCCCCCTGCCCAAACCGAATTGGACAAGGGGTGGGAGCACGGCCCCCCTTTCCTTCTCCCTCTCCCTCCTTTCCTTCTTTCCTACTCCGAAAAGGAAAGGGAATCCTACTAGGACTTGGGAGTCCTAGTAGGACTCCCTACACTTGGCGCGCCCCTAGGAGGGCCGCCGACCTCTCTCCCTCCCTCCTTTATATACGTGGATAGGGGGTACCCCAAAGGCACTCCAAGATTTGTCTTAGCCGTGTGTGGTGCCCCCCTCCACAGTTACACACCTCGGTCATATCGTCGTAGTGCTTAGGCGAAGCCCTGTGCCGGTAACTTCATCATCACCGTCGCCACGCCGTCGTGCTGATGGAACTCTCTCTCGTCCTCAATTGGATCAAGAGATCGATGGACATCATCGAGATGAACGTGTGCTGAACGCGAAGGTGCCGTATGTTCGGTGCTTAGATCGGTTGGATCGCGAAGACGTTCGACTACATCAACTGCGTTACTAAATGCTTCCGCTTTCGGTCTACGAGGATACGTGGACACACTCTCCCCTCTCGTTGCTATGCATCTCCTAGATAGATCTTGCGTGATCGTAGAATTGTTTTTGAAATACTGCGTTCCCCAATACGTGCATCAACAATCCTATCCCGGTGTACTGTTCTCGTCCCCTTGACCGAACCCTTGAAGTTTAACTTGATCCACCTAGTGTACAACCGGACACTCTCCTGTGAAGTGTCAGGGTTTCGAATGAAAATCGTCGCCTTTCACACACAACTCATTTATTAAAATCATTTCAACTTCAAACTTTTTATATGATTACTACACACCATCCAAAGCCCCATGCTCAAATTTGAGCACTTTTTGAGTTGGTCTACTATTTTCAAGGCATTAACTTATTTTTCAATCACTAGAAAAAGCAAAACGCTCTTCGGTAGGAAATAACGAGGAAACGAGCTTCAAAAGAGATGAAACTTGGCATTGTGTCTTAATTGGACCCATGTGGGGTGTGGTAAAAATTTGAGAGCGTTGCGGCAAAAAATTGATCCACCTCGTGTGCAATGCTCCACTTTCTTCTCCATTTCCTCTGGATGCTCATCATCATCATCATCATGCACTCTTCATCCGACAAATTCGGTTAATCGACAAACTCTTTTTGAATACATTCATCAAACTCATTGTTCTGAAACTCCCGTCTGACGAATCCATTCTTTTACCTACAAAAGAATAAAATAGCAGTCTGGACATTTTCTCGAACACATAGAGGGCAAGGTGTATGACTGGAGGAGTAGGACGTATTGCATCTGCATCCGAGCCGATGACCGTGTCAGGGGCAGGGAGGATGACATGAGTGGTTTTGTGCCGGTGATGGCGGCCCTGTGGGGTCGGGAGGACGACAGAGCTAGTGGAGGAGAGGCGCGGACGAGGCAGAAGAGAGGAAACGAAGAGGGTAGGCCGGACTAGGTTAGGAACAATTTGAAGGGCTTTTGGCATGATTCGTCTTGGCGGACGCGTTCGGCGTGCCAGGGCTTTCTCATTTTCATCCCAGATATGGGCTGGGTTTGAGAGGTGTAGGACAACCCAAACGTATCGGACCGGTTTAAAGGGGGACAATTGGGTCACATTTTCAAGATCGGTCACTGATCAAGCCGTCCGCCCCGAACGTATAGAGGTGATTTGAGGGGTCCGTCTACAGATGCTCTAAGGTAGGGAGAAAGAAACTCCATGTACTACTAGGCAAACTTCTTCTGAAAAAAACATACTTCCTCTATTCCATAATATAGTGTGTATACATATTTTGAGAAGTCACACTTTACAAACTTTGACTAAGTTTATAGAATAAACTATTTATCTACAATATACAAAATATATAAAATATAAAACTACGTCTTATGATGAATATACTTGTATATGTTTGGCATGCTAGATGTAAATATTTTTCACCAATAATTTGATTAAAGCTGACGAGGTCTGATTTTTAAAAAGATTATACTCCTTAACCAGTGATCTAAACGCTCTTATAGGGAGCAAGTGAGTATTAGGCCCCACGTGCGAACTAATCTGTGGTTGGATGGTTAGAGGGACAGTGGTATTCTAGCCCACCAGGGTTCAAGTTTTGTTGCTCGCATTATTCCTGGATTTATTTTAAGATTTCCAGTGATACGCTTTTAATGGGAAGAAACGAGTCGCCTATGATAACTTCGTAAATCTTAAGATGATATGTAGACCCAGTCTCTCGAATGTGTTTATAGAAATAGAGTGTGTGGATATACATTTATAAGGGTGAGTATATACGCATATATATGAGCGCTTACGTCTGTATTGCGTTTAGAGAAGGAAAAAATGCCCACGTTCAGTTGACCCGAGTCTTCTACACTCACCTGCTGCTGCCACCTTCGTCACCACCACCCGCAAACGGCGCATCATTCCCGCGCCTTCCTTCCCCAAACCCTAACCCGGACAGCCACACAGCGCGATGCCCTTATCCTCCTCTTCCCGCCGTCGCCGAGGCGGGCGCGGCGGACGACGCGGCCGCAATGCGCCGACGGCGCCGGCGGCCGCGGATGAGACGGAGACGAGGAACTGGGCGGAGCTGCCGCTGGACGCGATCTCGGCCATCCTCCACAAGCTCGACCACGTCGACATCCTGATGGGGGCGGGCCAGTTGTGCCGCTCCTGGCGCGGCGCCGCTCGCGACGAGCCCGAGCTGTGGCGCCGCATCAACATGCTAGGCTACGCCGACCTCGAGCACGAGCTCAACTTCCCCGGGATGGCGCAGGCCGCCGTCCGCCGCAGCGCGGGGAGGTGCGAGGCGTTCTGGTGCGAGTACGCCGCCGACCACGACTTCCTCCTCTACCTCGCCGACCAGTGAGATTTTGAATCCCCCAATCCCCTCCCCTCCCCTCCCCTGATTTTAGGGGCTTTCGTTTTGATTTTATTTGTTCCGCATTGGCTGCACGTTCTGTTTTCGTCGCTATTCCCTGCAATGTATGTGTGCCTTTGGGTCACGAGTATTGTCTGCGGAAATTTTCGGTACAAATTTCTGTCCGTAGGAATCATGCAATTTTATTGTGAAATGGGAGTGAGGTTAGTGTAAACTAGCAACAGAATGCTTGCAATGTGCAACAATCTTTGTTAAGATAGCTTCCTAGTGTCTGTACTGAAGAGTGAAGATACGGTGTGCATAGATCTGATGCTGGTTGGTGATGATACAGCTGTACACGAGGTGCTCACATGGGGATTTTTTTATATATAAAAGAGAATTTCATCTCCGATTGCTAACATTAGAAACCATAGGTTCTTCGGATTACAGCGAATTTAAGTAGCAAAAGGTAAAATGCAACAGTTCCATGCACATGAACCTATTCCTCTGTGCCAGCACCAATCCCGTATTGAATGGAATGCTGAGTTGCCATCGAACGAAATGTTGATGTTGTGTTGACAGCCTATGCATTGGTCTTATACAATTGGGAAGGCTTTTTTGGTTTGGTTCGAAACAGAACACAGTTGCCAGTTAACTTTTCAGGGCTTCTGGGCAGTTTCTAGGGAAGCAGTCAATTTGGCAATCATTTTAGTTCTGTTGATTCTTAAACAGAATGAACTCAGTTGAGTTCATACGCTAGAGTGCAGAATTTTTCCTAATATGCAACCTACTGTTACAGGCGTCGACAAGTTCGCATCCCTGAAATGTTCACTGTCCCTTAAATCTAACAATTGATTCTGAAAGTTTCCAATCAGGATGATTCTGACACCGCCTCAAGTTTTATTCTGCTGAATTTCTCTTATCCCAACATTTAGCCACCCGCAGGTGATTGATGTACCCCGCAACACACACATGAACCCATTCCTCTGTGTCCACCTCTCATTTATAAGGAATGTTGAGTTTTACATCCAACCAAAACATTGATGTTGTGTCGTCAGCCTATGCATGGTCTGGCATTGAACTCAGCCGGGTTCTTCACATCTTCGTTTCTTAATGCGGTGTGGGAGGCTTCTTTGGATTGGTTTGAGGAAAAATTCATTTGGAGGTCAGCTTTTCAGGCTTCTGGCCATTTCCTGGTGTAACTGTCGAATTGGCAATAATTTGAGTTAAATGATATGGTTAAACAGAACAAACTCAGCTGAGTACATGTGCCAGAGTGCAGAATTTATCCTTATATGCAATCTGCAATTGCAGGCATCGACAAGTTAGCATCCCTGAAATTTTCTCTGTTAAACCTAGCAATTAATCATTAATTGAATTATACTAAATCCCTCTAAATTGTGTACCTATGATGCTATGCAATTATCTGAATTTATGAAATGTTCTATGCATGGACTGCGATTGGAGCCATGCAAGTCTTCCAAAACATTCACTCTAGCTGCCTATTTTATACAGCATGCTTATGCCTTTCCACACACACGGCATATTTATCGGTTATTGAGATCCAAGTGTTGTATTTGCAGGGCACCATCTCTTAAGAGCCTTCGCCTCATTTCTTGCTATGATGTTTTCGATGATGGACTCACTGAGGCGATAATGAAGTTCCCTTTGCTTCAGGAGCTCGAGCTTTCAGTGTGTCCAAATGTGGATGACAGTGGTGTCTTTGGGGTTATCGGTAAAGCATGCCCACAGCTGAAACGCTTCAGACTGTGTAAGGATGTGTTCTTTGATTATGAAGCCAGTGAGCAGGAAAAGGACGAGGAAGCCCTGGGGATTGCGACTATGCACGAGCTACGCTCTTTGCAGCTGTTTGGCAATAGCCTCACCAACAAAGGGCTGACAGCCATCCTGGACAATTGCCGACACCTGGAGTCCCTTGACATCCGCCACTGTTTCAACGTCACCATGGACGATGCCCTGCGTGCAAAGTGTGCCAGGATAAGCACACTGAGGCTTCCGAATGACTCAACCGATGACTACGACTTCATTGTGAAGAGCCCTATTTGGAGGAATTCAGAGTCCTTTCTGGGTGATTATGTGGGATCTGATTCTGACTACGAGCTTGGCTCGGATGATTACGACGACTACTGCGATCCTTCCCGCTACCTTGATGGTGTGTATGAGGACGAGCTTAATGATGAAGCGAGGATGCTTCTCAGGGGCATGCGTATGCTTATGAAGTGAGCTCCATCGCGATGTTGCGATCAAAGTGGCCGGATGTTCCTCATTTCTTTTGCCAAAGTATCTGCACTACGCTAGGCATGGTCTGTACTTTGCCGCTTCTGTCAGTGCCGTGGATCCGCTTCTGCGTTGACTTGCCCTAGAATATCGTAGGCTCCGTTTCGTGCTTTGTCCAGCCATCTTACTAGTTGCTAGTAAAACATGTGGTTTGTTGGGAGTCCTTTACCTTCTCAGTTTAGTTGAAGTCGCTGTGAAATATGCTCTGTAGTAAGCACTGGTTTGCTTAGTTGTAAAGAACTCAATATGTTGATCGGTGCCTGTGCCTGTGCCTGTGGTGCATACCACCCACGTTGCAGTTTCAGGACCTCGTAACTCTGTCAGGTGATTTTGGTCATCGCTCCGGTGACGTTTGCTGCAGCTCTTGTCGCCGGAGGTTGGAGCTTCCCAGTTCTTCAATATTAATCAACTGTGAAATGAGACTTCCGGGGAATTAAAAGGGCACGCATGGCCCGTGTGCATCGACCAACTTTCACAGTTTTTCTTTGATTGACAGGGGTTAGCTGCATTTTTTTAAAATCTTTCTTCCCTGAATTTATTTGTCTCCCGTTTCGATCAGTTGAGATGGCATATACTCTTCATGGAGGGAGTAGAAGGTAAATCCTGGGTTCCATGTATAGGATTGAAGTTGTTACGCATACTATAAATCTGGAGGTTAGAATCACAGTTGATAAAGTTGTACTTGCGGAAAGTATTGGCTTCTTGGGTTGTTGATAAATGTTAATCGAGTTAGAGGCACCCCTGCAAACATGAACAAATGATTTTTTTATCAGATTAAATTTGTCTATAAGGTGCCCTTTTTATCAAGTTAATGTTCATTATAGTTAACGCCATATATACTAATGTGTGGTTCTGCTACAGTGGCTGTTGCTTTTGGCCTATTGACCCTTGCCATGTTACAAAGGTAAGCAGGGCATTACTGTTTGTGAATATTGAATCCTGAAATTACCTAGTTAAGATGTTTAATTAGATTAGTGTCCCACCCATTTGTCCTCTAATCTTGAATAAGATTTTCGTTTGGTACTGCACTGCCTGCATTTTAGTTCAGGACCATCTGTTACACCGATGAATCCTTACTTAAACCAAAGTTTGCACATCGTGGTCAGCCCAAATTACTTCTCACAAGGACTGTTATTATGACTTCATGTGGACCTTTCAAAAATGTTTGTATGAGCAACTGTAAAAGCTAATCAAGATAATAGGCCTAAATGGTGGAGCTTAATCAATAAGCATCTGCATTTATAATCTACAAACTTCCTAAGATCTTGCTGGCCTCATCTTGCAAAAGCTTCCAAGCAGCATCCACATGTTTCTCCTCGGTCAGTGGTGCTCCAACGGCAAATCTCAAGACAAATTTTCCGGAAAGAACCTGTTGAAGAAAAAAGTACCACACAGGAAATCAGTGGATATTTATGCTTCATGAATACATATGGAGATCATTGAAGGATCTGCTAATAACCAACCGTATGTGATATGAAGATCTTTCCACTTGAGTTACAGGTATCCATTAGGCTGTAGTTAAGGTTACGGCCATTGTCATCCTCCGAAGTTGGGGGCAGAAGGCGGAAACACACAAGGGAAAAGTTCCTTGGAGTTACTACCTAAATTAGTGAAGTAAATAAGATCTCTATAAAATAGAGATTTCCAATGGAAGAAGAAAACATGATGTTCTTTTGAACTACAGAAACAGAGAGTTCCATAGTATCATTAAATAGATGTACTAACTGGTTTATTTTCTCTGTTACCTCAAATCTTGAATCAGATAATACAAGTTGTTCAAACTGTTTAGCCAACTGCATGTGCTTTCTGATATAGCTCTGCAGGTTTTCCACGCCATAAAGCCTCAATACCATCCATAGCTTGAGTGATCTAAAATAAAAGCTCCACTTGGTAAGAGAAATCAATTCAATTGCCATACAAGGAACCGCTGCCTATAGTCTGAACAACAATGTGACGAGTCATACTGTCATAGTGACTGCACTTGGTAAGCTAGACGTTAACACATTGATATATGATGTTGAGCAACATTAAATTGTAAGATTCTTTTTTTGTAATAGACATATGTGTATGAACTATATATTGATCCTCCAATTGCAAGCAAAGTAAATATAGTATAAAGGCTACAATTTCTCTAATAGGAACAATGATATTGAATAATGGGCAGGCCCACCTAACACAAACTGCTCAGATCTATTTTGATGGCACACTGTGAAGCCATCCAATACCACATGGGATACAAGCAAACTTTGGTTCCTTGGTGTTTTTTAAAATCATTTGACCACGCATTATTACCACTTGTGATTTATATAGCAATACCGAAGCTTATTGATACACTTAATGTTAGGTAAATATTAGTTCTACAAAGAAGAAACTAGATGTAATTTATTGAAGTATTAATCTAATGTTGCATTCCTTGTCAAAATATCATGTACTAAACTGTATGTAAGAGATAAATAGTACACTTCACAAACGGTAATGAAATTGCCAAGAGGATTTCACCTAAAACGACGGCCAAGTGGAATTTGCCAATCCTTGGAATCAACAACGGAGTTTTCTTGGGAAGCCTGAAAATGTAAAACAGTTATAGCATCACAAAATGTTTACAAAAAACTCACAAACACTTTACAGGTATTTTTTTTATTAATTAGATTGCAGGCATCCATTGTTCTTTCAATATAAATGTTTTTTGTTTTCTCAAAATTTTATACTTCAGTTTGTCCAATCAGATTTAAATTGAGGGAATATTTATGTATCACATTACTACAAATAATGTAATTATTGAGAATTTCAACCAAGTTCTTCAACAATTACTCGGAAGATATTTCCCACAATGGTACGACCTGCGCCCGGGGGGCAGTAATTGGTCAGGTTTAACTCTTTTTCTCTTGCTTCATTTTAAAAAGTTGGAAAGTACCAACTCTTAATAACATACAATTGTATATAAAATAAAAAGAGCTCAAACTAGCACATTCCCACTAGAAAAGGGCTCCAAAGCTTCGGTATTGGATGGCTTCACAGTGTGCCATGTGGTATTGGATGGCTTCACAGTGTGCCATGTGGTATCACAATGTACCACTTTTAATAGGATTTGTAGTCCCAACGATAACCAGATGGTTAACACTAGAATTTGGAAAATGGGGAATTAGATAAGATAGCATTCATTCGCAATCCAGAAAACTCGACCTTTTCAAAAGGTAGATTAATCCACTACCATGAACAATAATAAAATTATGACAAGAGAAAAATAGAGAAGGGAAGGATATATCGAAACCTTATTCTTAAGATACTCTGGATTTGTAGATAATGCTTCTATGAGATAACTCTTGTCCTGTTTATTATGCATCATGTAAGTTTGTGCATTTGGTAGTATTGACATAATATTAATGTAATGCGTAGAAAAAACAAGTAAAGAAATATTCCAGATGTGTAAAACATGGTACTCCAATTGGAACATCATCACATGGCTTACCTTAACCCATAACAAGGAACAGTCGAAGTTTGTGAGAAACCATTTGTGTGCATTCATATTGAATGAATCAGCTTCTTCTACCCCGTCAAGGTGATGTCGGTACTCTGGGCATACACAAGCACTTCCAGCATATGCAGCATCAATGTGGAACCACATGTCATGGGCCTAACAAAAATAATAAACATATGCAATCGATCAATTTTTTATCAATATATTTAAATATATGTTTCTATAATTTGTCACAAGTATAATATACAAAATAATATAGTTAATAACAATGGGAATGTGGAACCAAACATTCCAAAAGCATTCTCCATAAAAGATCCCATAGATTGATCGAAACTTATTTCTTGCTCTACACAAATTTGCATTACTTAGGACTAAAATACGAAAAATAAACTAAATTTAGTTCTATAAAAAGAATTCCTCTTCAAAATTCTGGTCCCATCTAAAAATTTCTGGAGACCGTTGTTAACGGATTAGTTATCCATCAAAACGCAGATTTGTTCCTCAAAAGTGGACATAATAATTAGGTCTTCAACTAGCAGCAACAAAATAGTGTTCTATGCATAGCTGGTAGAAGTTCAACATTCTTTTAGAAAATATATAAATAGAAAACATTAAATACATAGATGGATTTCATTATACTAATATTGATAATTTCCTAATTATCACAAGCAACGGGCTCAAACACCTGTGCTATCTTTCCTAATTTATGCAAGGGGTCCACGGCCGATGAAGATGTTGTGCCGACCTTACTTACTTACGAAGCCTTTGATCCCAAACAAGTTGGGGTAGGCTAGATATGAAACCCTTTCACGAGGACTTCCCAGGAGGTCACCCATCCTAGTACTACTCTCGTCCAAATGGGTTTCATACCCAAAAGACTGGCTAGTTTTTACGTTGGCTCGCCAAGCCTATCACAACCCTTAGATATGAAACTCTTTCACAAGGACTTCCCAGGAGGTCACCCATCCTAATACTACTCTCGCTCAAATCGGTTTCATACCTATGGGACTGGCTTTCAAACTCTTTCAAGATGTTGTGCCGACCTGAAACAAATAAATTCTTTAGAAGATAAACATGGAGAAAAAATATAGATTGTACTAATGAGTAGATAAAAATCTAAGCACAACTATTAAAATAAGAGAATGCCATTTAAGTAATTACTTTCTGTAACATTTATCATGTTACTGTTTAAGTATATTTGGATTTCCCAAACTTCTCCATCAGTCTGGGCTTTTGGTTCTACTGGTTGGTGCGTTAAAATTATTTGGTTTGACCACGTCCACCCGAAAAGAACCACAACAAAAGATGAGCAGCTGATCAGGGTCATCGAACAGGTAGTGGCCTAATATGGCGGTAGATTAGGGAAGCTCTATGGAGGATTCGGCAATGGCCAAGACCCTCATGCTCGCAAGTCAAGAGCATGATCTTGATCATCTACATCAGGATAAAAATATTGCCCTCCTTCACTCAGATGTTTGCATATCCACTACAATGACATATATCATGAGAATGGCCTAGTTGCAAATTCAGGGCTAATATGCTATAGAAGGCTGAGGCTCATGAGTGGCGGACGCGGGGGCCCGAGGACTTCGCCAACTTCTCCCCTAGACTAGGTTTTGGGTCGAGTTGTATGGTGCGGTGTTGGTCTTCTTTAGGACTTGTGCAAAAACTTCTTTTCTATCAATGGATCGAAACACAAGGCTTTTGCATTTTTGCTAAAAAAGTAGGCTTAGTTTGGGAGCTCAGCTTTATTGTATTAGAGTTATATTAGTCATGTCTTTTGGCCTTTCATTCTAGTCTCTTGGCATCCTCTTGTTGTCTGATAATACTAGTTGCATTCCTCACATGGTATTAGAGCTTTAGGCATTTTTTTTCGCACGCCCCAACTTGTGCTCCGATCCAATTGCGCGGCCGCGTTCCTGCTTTCTCCGGCTGTGCTGCTCCACGTTGTGTGCTGCTCTTGCCCTCAACCGCCACTGCAAGCGTGAACAAGCCACTCCTCTTCCCGAATCAAGCCTCCAGCCGCCGATCTCTGTTGCATCCTGCTGCCGATCTCTGTTTGCATCCTGCCGCTGATCTGCTACGTTCAGGCCGTACGCCGTCATCCCGCTGATTTTGCCGCCTGCCGCCGTACGCCGGATCTCGCCGTCCTCCGCTGCCAACCGGCTCGGCCGTCGTCTCATCTCCCAGCTTGGTCGCGTCTCCTCAAGATCGGCCACTCTGCGGCTGGCTTCCCAGGCTTCCACCACCGGCCGCCGTCTCCTCAAGGTCGGCCCGCTGCCGGTTGACTTCCCAGGCTGTCGCCGCCTGTCGCCGCCGGGCGTCCCCAGGGTGTCGCTGCCGGTCCCGGCCCGGTCCGCCGCCTGTCACCCGTCCGGTCCTTCCCTCTCTGCGCGGCTGTGGCGCTGTGCTGCTCGCTGCCCGCGGGCGCTCGCAAGGTCGCGAGGTCACGCGTGTCGCCTGAAACTGCTGCTGCTGGTTCACGTCTGATCGTGATCCAGATCTGTTGGTTGTTCTTTCAAAAAAAAAAGAGAGAGAGAGTAAAAAAAAGAGGCAAAAAAAAAGAGACATGTCGTTTCCGTCGGGCCTGCATTTTCGTTGCTGCCCACAAACTACCGATGGTGTTCCCTATATTGATCCCGTCTCACATATGCGCCGCCGCTCGGTGTTTGGTGCTCGTCCGCCTCTGATGTTGCCCTCTATGGCGTCTTCAGCAGGCTGTGATGGTCGTTATTCGTCGACTCTTCTAGCGGCTTCTGCCTGTGGTGGTGGTGCCTGCTCTACACCGACTCCCCTTGCCGCTTCCGCGCGCGTCGGTGACAACTACTCTCAGTCGACTCTACACACGGCTTTTACGGGTGGTGGCAACCGCTCTTCGTCAGCAGATGGTTCTACCTCGACGTCTACCACTGTGTCTTTGTCCGCACATGAGATTGCACAACTCCGATACCTTCTTGATACTTGGGATTCTTCACCGATAGGTTCTGCTGGTTCCGCGCCTGAGTTTTTGGGCAATGAGAGACCACCTTCTACTCATTCAGATACATCCTCATGGATTTTTGATACTGGCGCATCTTTTCATATGACTTATGATTCCTCCACTTTGATATCCATTCGACCTGTCAAGTCTCCTGTTCATGTTCATACTGCTGATGGTACTTCCCTCCCTGTCGCTAGTCAAGGCACTCTTAGCACATCTTCCTTTCTTGTTCCCTCTGTTGCTCATGTTCCTCGACTTAGCATGCAACTCTTTTCAGGTAGTCAGATTGTTGACTCTAATTACAGGGTCAATCTCGACTTTGATTCATGTTCTGTTCAAGATCGTCGCACAGGCGCTCTGCTTGGTGCTGGCCCTCGACGCCAAGATGGTCTTTGGGAGCTTGACTGGCTTCGTCTTCCCTCTGATGCCACCGCCGCTAGTCTCGTTGCCCCTGTTGCCTCATCTGCTAGCTCTTTTCAGCAGTGGCATCATCGTCTTGGCCATTTATGTGGTTCTCGTCTCTCATCTTTAGTTCATCGTGGTGTTCTGGGGTCTGTCTCCGGCAACGCCTCGTTGGATTGTCTTGGTTGTAGGCTTGGTAAGCAGATTCAGCTACCCTATCCTCACAGTGAGTCGGTGTCTAAGCATCCTTTTGATTTGGTTCATTCAGATGTTTTGGGTCCTTCTCCCTTCGCTTCGAAAGGGGGTCATCGCTACTATATTCTCTTTATAGACGATTTTACTCGCTACACCTGGATCTATTTCATGTCTTCTCGTAGCGAGGTCTTATCTATATACAAAAAAATTGCTGCCATGGTTCATACCCAATTCTCCACTCATATTCGTGTTTTTCGTGCAGATTCTGCTGGTGAGTATATCTCTCGTGCGTTGCGAGGATTTCTTGCTGAACAGGGTACTCTTCCCCAGTTCTCTTGTCCTGGTGCTCATGCTCAGAATGGTGTGGCTGAGCGCAAGCATCGTCACCTTCTTGAGACGGCACTTGCGATGATGATTGCTGCCTCTCTTCCGCCTCACTTTTGGGCTGAGGCTATTTCCACTTCCACATATCTCATCAATATTCAACCATCTGCTGCTTTGTAGGGTGGTATTCCTTTCGAACGTCTTTTCAATCGTTCTCCTGATTATTCGACGCTTTAGTTGTTTGGTTGTGTTTGCTATGTTCTTCTTCCCCCACGTGAACGCACCAAGCTAACCACTCAGTCTGTTGAGTGTGTCTTTGTAGGATACAGCGATGAACATAAGGGTTATCGGTGTTGGGATCCTGTCGGTCCTCGGATGCGTATTTCTCGGGATGTGACTTTTGACGAGTCTCGTCCTTTCTACCCACGACCATCCTCCTCGACCTTTTCTGTGGAGGACATCTCTTTTCTCACATTTCTCGATACACCTCCCTTTGTGCCCCATATTCCTACTCCTCCTTCCCCCGTTGTTGTAGATACGGCACCATCCTCTCCAACTGTTTCTTCCCCTCCCACATCGCATGACTCTCCACCTTCATCCCCGATACCTTCTTCATCTCCATCTTCATCAACGATTCCTTCCCCATCAACACCGATGTCTTCCCCATCTCCATCTCCTGTGATTCCTACCCGTCCATCTTTTCCTTTCCATTACACTTGCCGTCCACGTGTTGTGGATGGGTCCACTGATGCGCCATCTACTTCTGGTGTGCCTTCTTCCTCATCTCAGCCGACTTATGGTCTTCGACCTCGGCCTTGTCCTCCTCCCGATTGCTATTCTCCTTCCCAATATGGTCTTTCGGCTATACTTGAGCCTACCTCCTGGTGTTCATCCCATCACTTGTAAGTGGGTCTACAAGATTAAGACTCGCTCTGATGGTTCTCTTGAGCGTTATAAAGCTCGTCTTGTGGCTCGTGGCTTTCAGCAGGAGCATGGTCGTGATTACGATGAGACTTTTGCTCCTGTGGCCCATATGACCACTGTTCGCACACTTCTTGCCGTGGCCTCTGTTCGTCACTGGTCTGTATCTCAGCTTGATGTTAAGAATGCCTTTCTTAATGGTGAGCTACGTGAGGAGGTTTACATGCAGCCACCACCTGGGTATTCTGTTCCTGATGGCATGGTTTGCCGTCTTCGTCGCTCTTTATATGGTCTTAAACAAGCCCCTCGCGCCTGGTTCGAGCATTTTGCCTCTGTAGTGACTGTCGCTGGCTTTTCAGCGAGCGCTCATGATCCGGCGTTGTTTGTACACCTTTCTGCTCGTGGCTGCACTCTTCTTCTTCTATATGTTGATGACATGATCATCACTGGCGACGATTCTGAGTATATTTCTTTTGTCAAGGCCCATCTCAGTGAGCAGTTTCTTATGTCTGATCTTGGTCCTCTTCGTTACTTTCTTGGGATTGAGGTTTCTTCCACCTCTGATGGCTTTTTTATTTCTCAAGAAAAGTATATTCAGGATCTTCTTACTCGTGCGGCTCTTAGTGACGAGCGCATTGTTGAGACTCCTATGGAGCTCAATGTTCAACTTCGCGCTTCTGATGGTGAGCCCTTGTCTGATCCGACGCGCTATCGTCATCTTGTTGGTAGCCTTGTCTATCTTGCTGTCACTCGTCCAGATATCTCCTATCCTGTCCATATTTTGAGTCAATTTGTTTCTGCTCCCACTTCAGTGCACTATAGTCATCTTCTTCGTGTTCTACGATATCTTCGTGGCACGATCTCTCATCGTCTCTTTTTCCCTCGTTCTAGCTCGTTACAGCTCCAGGCCTATTCAGATGCTACATGGGCTAGTGATCCTACGGATCGCCATTCACTTTCTGCTTACTGTGTTTTTCTTGGTGGTTCTCTCATTGCCTGGAAGACGAAGAAACAGACCGCAGTTTCCCGTTCGAGTGCAGAGGCTGAGTTACGAGCTATGGCTCTTTTGACGGCAGAGCTGACTTGGTTACGATGGTTACTGGAGGGTTTTGGTGTTTCTGTTACTACACCTACCACCCTCTTGTCAGACGGTACGGGTGCTATCAGTATTGCGCGAGATCCCGTGAAGCATGAGCTTACCAAGCATATTGGTGTTGATGCTTATTATGTGCGCGCTGCTGTGCAGGATCATGTTATTGCTCTTCAGTATGTGCCTTCTGAGTTACAGCTTGCAGACTTCTTCACGAAGGCCCAGACTAGAGCACAACATGGATTTCACCTCTCCAAACTCAGTGTTGTGGAT